TAAAAGACTCAACAACCCACTGCAAAAGCAGGCATGTGAATTCATTGGGGATGTGTAGCATTTTTTCCAGAGGAATCCCGGGCGCCCATAGAACTGTCAGCTGTGCTACCAGGTTGGAAACCTCTGCTTTGTTTGACACACATGCTTGGTTAATTGAAAACCCAGGAAGCAACTACAACAGCCCAAAAATCACAACAGCTTTTATTTTTAAACGGGGCTAATCTTGCAATCAGGTGTCTTCTTGGCTTCAGACACAATTTCAGCTTCAGACACAATTTCAGCAACAGTGCCATGGCCCAGACTCACTGATTTGCCAGGGAGGCTCCAGTGAAACAGTTCTTCTCCATTTCCACCAAGCCCCCAACACTTGTTCCAACCAGACCATTCTTGAAGGAAGCCTTAAAAAACCACGACCGATCAAAAAGAATCTCCAGCCTGGCTCCTTGCATGGGAAAAGCCATGGAAAAGCTCCAACACTGCTTTTTCCACAAGCCACCATTCTGGAAAGGCTGTAACCCCATATTAAAGACAGGACACGTTGCAGACGGCTGTGTCTTGGCGAATGACTCTGTTGCTGTCAGGAAGAGCAGCTGTCCCCATCTCATCCACACAGATACTCACGTGGCTGCCCAGCAAGCAGGGCCAACTCCCTGAGCCAACTCCTCACGTGGCACTCGAGTACCAGCACTAAGGATGGAGCAGGAATTAGAAGCACGGTCAGGGGCTCCGGCTGCAGGAGAGAGGTCAGGGCAGTCCATGGAAAACAACCAAAGGTAAACCTGGCCTCAAATTTGTAGCAAATTGCAGGAATTGAAGTAGTGCTTTTGGCGAGGCAATTAAATGTTGAACACCTCTATCCCCCAAATTGGCTTTTTTTTTTTGTTTTCTTAAAGCTAGCCAGATTTTAGATACACACAGCCTGTCCAACCACAGTTTTCCTGCTCCGCCCAGTCTCTCCAGCATTACCCTTCCTCTCCTACTGTCATCCTTCCTCTATTGTCTCTGTTCCTGTGAGAAAACACATGAACATTTTCCATGTATCTTCCCCTTCCACTGGGTGACCCTGTCTACCCATCTCTTCTTCCTAAGGACACAAGCTTTTTAACTACTTCTTACAAAGAAATAAGTGCTCCAGAGAGAGGCTACAGGAGGAAGGAGGAGACCTGTTCCTCCAGGATGGCTGGTCCCAGGGAGCAGGAGGGGGCTGAGGGCTGCAGACAGGCAGGTTCCCAGGCAGGGGGCCACGGCTGAGGTCTCACAGGGTGTCCCAAAGCCTGGCAGCATCACTGGCAAACCCAGCATGAGCAGAGCCCAGGACCCTGCCTGCACCACACCCGTAGACAAGCCTCTAACCCTTTTTTAGGCTGCAATTTTTCCAGGCAAAGACTATGTTTCCACTGTCCCTGGTATGCTCTGGTTCAGTGCCCTGCAAGAAAAAGGAATGCCGCCAGGGACTTATTTCATTGTAAACAACATTTACTAGCTGCCTTTCAAATATTAATACAAATAATTTCAGGCTTCCCACACACACCTCTGAGCGCTGCCAAGTTAGAGCTTTCGCTGGCAACTTTTCTTCATCCAGAGGAACTGGGGAGGTGCTGCTGCAGCATTGTGCTAGTGAGTGACAGATCAGAAACACTATAAACAATGCATTTTTTGTATTATTCTTTTCCAGTATGGGGTAAAAAGGAAAAAAAAATAAAAAGAAGCATATTGAAAAGTTCACTGATCCAATTTCATTTTCTCAGCCTATTACTGCTTAAACACTTGAACCCTTTATGACAATAAGCCAAGAGCAGGCATGTGCAGGAGCAAACCCTCACTCCTGTACAAATCCTAAAACCAGCCATTTACACCTAACTTAGACATTTAGTAGTGTTCCCACAGGACTACTGGTTTCTTCCCTAGGGATGCCTGCTTCCCTAAGGCCCTGTTTTCATGGCTAATGGGCACTATCTTCTGCTATTACAAGTGACGGAGCATCTCTAGACTAATAAGACCTATTACAAGTGACTCAGGCACTAGGAATACCTCCACATCCATTTCCGACCCCTGGGGCTGGGACGGCACGATATTCTAGTCAGTCTCAGTCCAGTGCACGTGAGAGGTGTCAGAAAACTCAGCCTGTCCTGTCAGTCCGCTCCTTTCCTAAGGAAGCTGTTGCATTCCCAGAGACCTAATGGGCTTTTGGAAACCCTTTTGAATCACCAAGGAAGATCGTCACCCCTAATAAAAATTTCTCAAGTTGGATGAGAAGGCTCATCATCCATCCCGCCCAAGCCCCAGGATGCAATCTCTGGCTCATCCTGCAGGCTGGAGCCACCCCCACTCTCCTAATTTACTTTGTGTCACAGGAGAAGTTCACAATGTTTCATGAGGAAACAAACAAGCCAAGGAGGTTCCTTTCCCAAGATATTCTTGACAGAACTTGCTCATGCAGGAACATTTGACAGGGGCAGACTGTTTTAAAAACCATAGTCATAGAATCGTCAAGGTTGGAAGAGGACCTTTAAGATGATGGAGTCCAACCGCTAACCCAGCAGTGCCAAGCCCACCACTAACCCATGTCCCTCAGCACCACATCTACATGTCTTTTAAATACCTCCATGGGTGGTGACTCCACAACTTCCCGGGGCAGCCTCTTCCAATGCCTGACAACCCTTGCAGTGAAGAAATTTTTCCCAATATCCATCCTAAACCTCCCCTGGCGCAACCCGAGGCTCCCTGTTCCTCGGGAGAAGAGAACAACCACCCCTGGCTACACCCTCCTTCCGGGTAGAGAGCAAGAAGGTCTCCCCCTCAGCCTCCTTTTCTCCAGGCTGAACACCCCCAGTCCATCCTCTCACCTTTTCTGCCACTCTGACTAAACTCAAGGGATTAGAAAGCTGAAGTTGTCTCAAAACAGAGTTTTGAGTATACAAACATGTGAGTTTGTATATTGGTTTGATACTGGTTGGATATTGGTTTTGATATTGGTTTGATAAGGAGAAAGAGATGCTCCAAGTATGAACAGTGTCCAACATGATACTTGGTTATTTCACTCCCGGTTAAGGGAGTAAGGGTAAGGAACGTTTCACAGCGTGCAACCCGCAATTATTGCAAAGTGGATTTAGCTGCAAGGGGTCTCTAAAACAAGCAATGAAGGAGAGGGTGCATAGGCCTGATCTGCCCTCCTCAGCATACCTGGAATCCCTGCTGACACCAGCAGGTGTTGAAGACAGCAAGGAGGCCAGACCCGGCCTCTCAGCATGCCTTGGTGCTGAGCTTTAGCTATGTCTTCCACGTGTGCGCTGTAAAGGACTTGCCCAATGCCGTCATCTGGGTTTAGAGCTGACTGTCTTCATTTCCACATGTGTCACCGTGGCTGTGCCTCAGACCAGTCTTAGGACTGCTGAGCGGTCATTCGTGCATCCCAGCCACGACAGCAATCAACCCCAGTTGCCCCAGGCCACACTAAATGGCATTTGAGCAATTAAGCCGCTCTACCAACGTTGCAGGAACTGCCTCACAGCTCCCAGAGTTTCTTCATACCTGCTACATGGGGCTTGTGAAACCTGAGCAGACAAATGCCTTCCATCCTGTCTCACTGTCAGAGGAACTTCCCCATCCTCCTCCCCCATCACAGCGGAAAAGGCTTGCTCAGGACATTCCTCGCCGTGGTGGTCACCACTCTTATGCACAAAAAATAAAGGAAAACCTCAAACCAGATACGCTATTCCTCTAATGCAATATGGATCATGGGATGTGATATGGATCTCAGTTTGAAGTAGAGGTTACGGTAGAAGATTTTCATCAGTAGTAATGTAAGACACGTGACTTCCTGGTCTGCACAGGAAAATCAAAGCAAGGATTGGTATCTACTCTTTGCAGATTTCATGGCAGTTCTGGACGTACCACCATTAGAGGTGAAGACAACTGCATAGTCAAGTCGTCAGCATCAACAGGGCTAGATTAGTTTGGTAGGTCCTGTTAGCATATCTGTTTAGCATAGAAAATACTGGAGTTCCCACTGAAAAAACTCACACACCTAATTCCAAGGTGACCTCTTGGAGCTAGGCCAAAGTAAACCACACAGTGTCAGAGGCAGAAAAAGAGCCAAACTCTACTTTTAAAATACTTAAGACTCCAAAACAACCAGAAACGTCAGCAGTGGCGTTTCACCTGCTCAGGCACCTTGACAAACCATCTCCACACGTTATCTGCTGATCAGATTTTATTCCCCCCCAATATTAATTACTACAACCTTCAGCTCAGCCAGTACGAATACGTGGCACGAAGTGTCACTGCACCAGTGCATTTCGATTTCACGCTTCTTGCCATATATTCACACTGACAGGGCTGAGGGGTGCAGTGGTCAGAATGTGCCCACTATCCCTTGATCTTCACAGACACGCCACTACTGCTGAGAATCCGGAGCAGGGGCTGACCTAAAACGCTGCACTTGCAGGAATCAGTCCTTCTTCAAGCGAGGGAATTGCTGTCTCCCAAGAGCTGAACTGAAGCAGTTCTCATCACACTCATGTCAACAGCACAAGCAAACATTCACTGTGGCAATTTCAAAGTAAAGTGCTACAGAGGCCCCATCCTGAGCTCATGAGTGGAAGACAAACGATGAGCACGTGAAGAACACAAGGAAAAGATGAAAAACTTTTCCTACTGACTACGGTAATTCGAGACAGTGTTTCCCACTGATACCTGGAGGATTGCTCTGTTGCTTAGGTCAAGTAACTCTCTTCCTCTGAGAAGACAGTAAACGTGAAGAAAAAGTGTTGTCAAAACACTAGCAGCTGACAGTATCCTCTGTGCTCCTCTCCTGTGTCTCATCGACCCTCAGTTCACACTGTGTCAAGCTGGAACCAACTGTAGTTCTAGTGAACTGCTTTAAGACAAAGCAGATGCTGTCACAGTTACAGGCTGCTGTCAGGCAAATGACACCCTGCCTAAAGGGGTAACGTACAGGCTAAAGAAAGCACATGTGGAGAGGGAGAAGCTGTCGTTACCTGCGGGCGGAGAGGGAAAAGTATCCACAGAACAAAAAAGCTCCTCGCTGTTTTCAGAGCTGCGTGGAGGCAGAAAGTGCTCCGCCAGGTCACAAACTGAAGGCAGGTCCAACGTGCTGCTCTCCTCCCAGCGATGACTTGGGGATGGCTCTTTTCCTTCCACAATCCCACTGGAGAGACATAAACACAACAGAGCCAGGGTTTTAGAGCACAAAAAATCCAAGAGGAATTCAACACAGACAACCTGGCATTTTTGCACTACTTTATGAGCTGAGAGAAGCTGTTCTAGCATATTGGTACTTCATTTAAGAAAATAAGGGTGAATTTAAATATATAAAGGAAGAACGACCACAAAACCCACAGACAACAGCCCTCAGCCCTAAGTAGGAGCCCACAACAAATCTGGCTTTCCTAGAGGCTTCCCAGAAGTACAGATTCAGACCCTAATACTAGAAAGCTGTGGAGTATATTCACTTCAAGGTATATTATGTGTGCAATTTCAAAGGAAACATGTTGTTCAGGGTCCCTTCCCTTTCCCACTGATGCCTCTAGATGTCACAAGTTAAACCCATCCTTCCTGGCTCTGTTCATGAAATTTATCACGCCTACCAGCAGAAGGAAAGAATATCTTAGAACTTAAACCACCTCAACCCCACAGGGATAGCAAGGATTTCCTGGTGTGGAGACCCCAGGGCAGCTGTGTTGTATACCCTGTGCACAGCACTTCGGAAAGCTGTAGCTGAAACATCCACACATCCCAACACCCTTCTCTTGAGCTTCCTGAACCAGTCCACTGCAGCAGAGGGCAGGAACATGTGGCTGGGTGGAGAGCAGGGCAGGGCAGGTGCCATCTAACTCCACACCAGGAGCCATAGTGGATGGGCAATTCTTTTGGAGAGGATAAAACTAAAGCATTCCACTCCAGCAGCTCCCAGCACAGCCACACAAGTGCCTGGGGCAGCAGAGGAGTGGAAGGCAAAAAGCTGGTGGGGCAGGAGCTCACAGAATGACAAACATAGAGGAGTGAGTAGGAATCCTTGGGCCAAAGCGTGCTTAGCAATAACTCAGTAAGAGGGGCTCTCTGTAGACCTCAAGGGAAGACACTTGCAAGGAAAGATGGAGAAGAGCCCCACACACCCTCAGTTTCCACTTGCCACCTCAGTCACCAGCATTTGGCCACCCTGCACAACCCCTTGTGAGGCTGCTGAGACTAATAGTACAGGCTCTGAGCAGAGCACTGTCGTACTCCAGCTCACACTTCTGGAAACACCAGAGGAGGAATTGACTCAGTCCTTACTGCCATAAGGACTTTCAGGCAGGAGCTTCACTTAAAACACCCACTGAGCACTGATGATGAGATTGAGCAGGGTAAATGTGAGCAGACATCATGTTTTTTTCCGCTCACTCAAGTAACAGATGATGCTTTTCATAAAAGAAAAAAAAAAAAAGGGGACGGAACAAGAGTGTTTCTCATGAAATCTGAATTTAGTTCCTAGCAGTTAACAGAGATTCCAGGAGATTTTGTGCAAGTTTCTTCCTTCATCTGTTTTGTTTACTTATATGCAATTAAAAAAGCAGATTGTGACTATCTGCTCTGCCCCCTCCACCAGCTGTATCCTTCTGCTCTTTTGGTAAAGAGTGATAGGACAGAGGAACCAGACCCAGTGGTCAGGCAATGGCGTGGGACCCTGCAGGCTCAAATTTATTTCCTCTTCCATAAAATGAAGAGGGCAACACACTCTTATCTCAGGGGTGCTGTCAGTGTTACAGCTGCAAGGGCCAAAGAAATCCCTAGAAGAGATTAGTACTGAAAAATGAAGTAAATATTCCCATGCAGATTCTTTTTAAAAAACCCAAACATTCCTTAGGTGCTTCTGTGTTGAGTAGACTTGTAGCTAAGATGCACCTCTGACCTTTGCAGAATGCTGACTCACTAACAACCAAAGTGGAGATTTTGGCTGCGATACTGGAGGAGACCAGCTGCCTTGCCTTGGAAGGGCGAACAAGGTCAGTGCATTCACAGGGTTTCCAGGAAAAACAGAGGAAAAGGTTAAAAACAAAACAAAGCCTACAACCCTCTGATCCCCAACAGTCGCTTCACAGAGGGAAGCTTCTCCTCCATTGCTCTTCATGTCCCAAAACACAGACGATCTGTGCATAAGGAACACAAGAGAAGGAGTAACTTTCCTCAAATACTGCTTTCACGATTTGTGCTACTTTTTAAGTATGTGAATATTTTAGAAACAAAACTGCTTATTTCAGTTCTTGGTCTGGAAAAAAAAACCACCACCAAAACCCCAACCAACCCTACCCCTCCAAGGGCAAGCAGGAGATTACAGCATGAGGAGCTGCTGCTCTGGTACCACAGCAGCTTAAAGCTGTCATTGACATGGGCTGCTGCGATCCTGGCCGTTGCTGCCAGCTGCCTGTGCCAGACTCTTTCCTCATACTGCCACGACAGGGCTAACAACATGTGCAGCCATGTGATGATGAGGTTCAGATAAAACAAATCACCTTATTTAAAAAAAAGTTTCCCTTTGGATCAGCTCCCTCTAGTCCTGCAACAACTTCAGAGTGCGGTTTGACCATGCAAGGCAGTGTTAAGTCAAGGCTACAGCAGTTCTACTCCCAAAACTAATGGAGAGAGTTGTTTGTGAGGATAAGGAAGACCTCAGCTCAGCCCTGCACCTTTAGGCGTGTGGAAGAGACACACTATTACGTCAGTGTCCTACCTGGGAGCAGCACTGACAGACAAGCAGTCCCCTTGGACAGAGCCCGGGAGCAAACAGCCTGTCACTGCTTCAGGATCCCCTCCTTCTTCCTTCATGGTTTGTCAATCCCAGCTCACTGGAATGAAACAAACAAGCTGGTTACATGCTTCGCATCAGCTGATCGGGCTGAGGGACGGTGTGCCCTTTCAAAGCACATATGCCTGCTGATGTCAACAGTCAGTCATCACATGTAACTTTTCTCACCGAGAAAATTTTTTTCTAGGAATCAGAAACAGCACATCTAGTAATGCCCTTCAATCTTTCGACAGCGAGGGAGACCTCCTGGGAAGGGGTCGGCACGCTCTAGACATAATGCCAGGATTTTCTTTACAAGAAGCTGCCAGATGGGCTGTTTATTCAAAACCTATAAAGAAGAGAAGTGAATTACAGCTGGCATCCTTCCCTCCCTCCTGGGGAGGAGCAAGTATTTCCCCAACAGGTTTATCCAGCGGTGCTTTGACGCTAACACTGACCAAACCTCGACGAGGAAATGTGGTTTAAGAGAGGCCACGTAACCCAGCGCGTGGAGCAAGCCACGGGCCCACAAAATCCCGATCCTGTTTCCCACCCCCTGCCGTTACTTCATCATTTCCAGTGAGCAATCAGGACAAACTTACTTTCAAGAGGAAACTGGAATTCCCTCCGGGCCACCCTGCTAGCGGGAATTTCCCGGACTGAGGGACACCGAGGGTCCTGCACAGACAGGGCAGGAGGTGCCATGGCCTTACCCGGCTCTGCTGCTTCTGGAGGCCGCAGAAGGGCTCCTCTTCTTCCGATCTCCTTTCTTTCCCCCTTGTCCTGCAGGCAGACACGCGTTATTTCAACAACTGCTCCTTCTTTGGCAGTGAAAGGAAAGAACAACACAGGGGAGCTCCCCCCGCCCCAAAGGCAGGACCCACCCGGGGCCTCCTTATGGCTGCCGCCTCCCCCCTCCCCAACCCCGCACTGCCCGAGGAGAAAATCAGGCTGCAGCTCCCCACAGAGAGCAAAACACGGTGGAGGGGAGTAAGGGGAAAGCCAAAAGCACAGCAGGGCTGCCCCGGGCCAGGCCGTACCCCCACAGTCCCCCCTCAGCTCATGCTGCCGGGCGGGAGAGGCCGGCCCCCCCCGGCACTGAGGCCGGCCGCCATGTCGGCAAAGGGCGAGGTGAAGCCGGGGGAGCCATCTTGGCTGCGGGCAGGCGTGGCCGGAGGGGCCCCGGGCACGGAAGGGTCCCGGGCACGGCAATGCGGGGCAGGACCGGGGGTACGGGCGAAGCCGGCCCTGAGAAGGGTCAGGGCGGCACCGGCAAAGGCGGCACCTGCGGCCGGGGAGAGCCTGAGGGCGGACGGGCGGCGGGTCCGCCCCTGGCTGGGGGCGGCTGGGCCGGGGCGGCGGGCGGATTTCGTGAATGGGGGAAAGAGCAAAGAGGAGAGAAATACACACAGAGAAATAAGAGGCGGAGAGGGAGTCACAGCTGTTTCCTGTAGGGTTTTCCTCGGAACGCGTTTAACTCTGGCTGGGCGGAGCATGGCTGGAGGGCAGCCCTGAGGAGAAGGTCTTGGGGGGGTTGATGGATGAGAAGCTCAACACGAGCCAGCAACGTGCCCTGGCAGCCCAGAAACCAACCCCATCCTGGGCTGTATCCCCAGCAGCGTGGCCAGCAGGGCCAGGGGGGGATTCTGCCCCTCTGCTCCGCTCTGGGGAGACACCCCCCCAGTGCTGCCTCCAGCTCTGGGGCCACCACCAGCAGAAGGACATGGAGCTGTTGGAGCGGGGCCAGAGGAGGCCACCAAGATGCTGTGAGGGCTGGAGAACCTCTGCTGTGAGGGGGGGCTGAGAGAGTTGGGGGCGTTCAGCCTGGAGAAGAGAAGGCTCCAGGGAGCCCTTGGAGCCCCTTCCAGTCCCTCAAGGGGCCCTGGATCAGGGAGGGGAGCCATGGGAGGAGGGGGAAGGGTTTGACCCTGCAAGAGGGGAGATGGAGCTGAGATGTGGGGAAGAACTTGTTTGGTGTGAGGGTGGTGAGAGCCTGGCCCAGGTTGCCCCGAGAAGCTGTGGCTGCCCCATCCCTGGAGGGGTTCAAGGGCAGGTTGGAGGGGGCTTGGAGCAACTTGGTCTGGTGGGAGGTGTCCCTGCCCAGGGCAGGGGGTGGGATGGGATGGTCTTTAAGGTCCCTTCCAGCTCTAACCATTTTGTGATTCTATGAACTCAGTTTTAATTCTCTGGATTCAGAGGGGAGGGGTGTTGGTACAGCAGCCCCTCTCCTGGGTGAGGCGAGGCAGCAGCAGCACCATCCCACGCCTCCAACTTGGGTTTCTGTCTCAGCAGGCAGAAGATTGGGTTGTTCTATGCCACCACTGTACAAGCCCTGACCCATGGTGCGGTCTGGAAAAGCCCTGAGGGGTGGTGAGTGTAGGGCACGTGGGGTCCACAGGGTGGAAATACCATAGTGGGGCCTGGCGGGAGAAACAAACACAATTCTCACCCAGGATGTAAGGAGCTGGGTGGGCTGTGAGTCCTCCTTCCAGGGCTTACAAAGCCCATCTACACGAATTCCTATGGAGGTCAGGGGAGGCGGGGGTCAGTCTCATCTCCCAAGTCACAGGAGACAGGACAAGGGGAAATGGCCTCAAGTTGCGCCAGGGCAGGTTTAGATTGGATATTAGGAAACATTTCTTCACGGAAAGGGTTATCAAGCATTGGAATGGGCTGCCCAGGGAAGTGGTTGAGGCACCATCCCTGAAGGTGTTCAAAAGATGGGTTGACATGGTCCTCAAGAATATGGTTTAGTGGGGCGGTGTTTTTTTTTGTTGGTTTTTTTTTATGTCAGAGTTAGGCTGATGGTTGGACTAGACAATCTTTAAGGTCCCTTTCAACCTAGACGATTCTATGATTCTATGAAACAGGAGAGCAGTCGTTTGCTGCTGCGCTCTCCCACATGGCACCGAGGAGTTTAACAGGCAGGACGGGTAGAAGCATCACACACCCTGCTGGGAAATGGGACACAAAACCCCTTCAGCACCGGGCACGATTGCCTTCTGCTGCCACCACCACGGCAGGCGTGGTGACAGGGACCCCTGACAGTGGCAGCCACAGGGGAGTGACACCGACATCCCGACCCTCTAGTGGGGGTGCAGCAAAGTGCCCCCAGCCACACGCCGGATGCTTTGCCAGCAAAGAGAATATATTGCAGTGCTGCCTGACAGAGCGTGCATGGCACAGCCGGGCATCCCAGGACACAGCCAGGCACCCTGGGACACCGCCGCTGGCAGAGGTCAGGGAGCAGCCCCTCGTATTGTCCCTGCAGGCAGTCAGGGAGGGAAGGTGCCAGCCAGCCTGGGAGAGCTGGCCGTGCTTCCTGGCACGCGTGCTGCCAGCGAGACTGGGAAGGAGCTGGTAGTTTTTTCCGAGAGCCTTTGGACTTGCAAAGCCATGGTCACAAACTAGTGTTTAGAAGGAAATCGTTAAGAGGGAAAAAAAAAACCAACTTTGAAGTCCCATGGTTGCCAAGAGGGTTTTTGGTTTACTCCCAGGTGAGTTGGCTCAAGCCAGGGAACGTTCCCTCAGGGAGAGCCTTTAAGTCTGCTTTTCAGGCACAGCGGCTGCAACTCTGGCCTGCACAGGGAAGTGTGTGGCCAGGAGGTGGAGGGAGGTCATTGTCCCCCTCTACTCGGCACTGGTGAGGCCAAAACTGGAATCCTGCGTCCAGTTCTGGGCTCCCCAGTTCAAGAGAGACAGGGAACTACTGGAAAGAGTCCAGCGAAGGGCAACAAAGATGATTCAAGGATTGGAGCATCTCCCTTATGAAGAAAGACTGAGAGAGCTGGGACTCTTTAGTCTGGAGAAGAGAAGGCTGAGGGGAGACCTTATTAATGCTGACAAGTACCTAAAGGGTGGGTTGAAGGAGGATGGAGCCAGACTCTTTTCAGTGGTTCCCAGTGACAGGACGAGGGGCAATGGGCACAAGCTGGAACATGGGAAGTTCTATTCAAATACGAGGAGGAACTTCTTTGGGGTGAGGGTGGCAGAGCCCTGGCAGAGGCTGCCCAGGGAGGGTGTGGAGTCCCCTTCTCTGGAGATCTTCAAGCCCTGCCTGGATGCTCCTGAGTGATGTGCTCTGGGCAGCCCTGCTTTGGCAGGGGAGTTGGGCTGGATGATCTCTAGAGGTCCCTTCCAACTCTGACAATTCCATGAACTCTACCTTACGCTCACAGCCTCCCTTGAGGCAAATCTGTGCTGTTGGGGCCACCGTGTGAGCAGCAATGAAAGCCCAGGCTGTGATAACCCCAGACACTGCCCTAGTGCCAGGCTACCTCTTGCCTGTCCCCAAGATCTAACCATCCCTCTGGGGAGTGGGACGGCCCCTTTTTTTTATGATCTGGAAGGCAGCATTCCAGCACTTCATTTCCTTGCAGGGAATGGGGCTGGAGCTGAGCTGGGGAGCACAAAGCATTGGCGGATCTGCCTTATTTAGCTATGGAGCACATACATACAATATTACAGCATCCAGAAACCAGCTGGCTCTGTGATCTCACCTCGCTGCACCATCCCGGGTCTCTGCCATCAGAAAAGCTCTGGCAGTAGGGAACTCAGTAGGTATTGCTGGCTCTGGAAAAAACAAGGAGCTCCAGCAAACAGAACTAACAAGGAAGCTGTAGTGCTTATTAACAAACATCCACGGCTTACCAGCTTCTATTTGTCATCTTTGGTGGACAACCAAATCTTTGAACTCAACTTTGATTTCCCTCCTCTCTCTCACCGAAAGGGAGGGGTCCTGCGCCCTGCTGATAGAGCTGTGCTCCCCCCTGCTCCCCCTGCCATTGGAATTTACAGGCTTTACCTTTACTCCTTCTGGACCACGTTATCAGTAAAAAGATTACATTTGCCTACAGTATTTAGGGTAAGACTGTTAAGTGCACGCTATGCTCCTTTTTATCAGTGTGCTAATGTTGGCGTGTGATAAAACTACGCCAGCAGCCGTGCCTGCTGTTGGTTGAAGCGGAAGGCACACGCAAGCCAGGAAACACAGAATTAAACCCCACACTTGACATTTAGCAAAGATGAAAGTACTGAGAGTCACGCACGGGGAAAAGGAAATGCACTTTCTGACTATTGCAGCTCTGTCACAATGTGGGTTTTGAGAGCGTTGACTGTCTCGGGGCCAGAGTCGTAAGCGGTACAATTTAATGCCATTGGAGCTAATGTGTGTCTGCTGACTTACCATCTTAAAAACTTAATATGTAACATGAAGAAAAATGTCTGTCTTCACAAACAGCAGAACTAGCAAGTTCATGTCTTTTCAGCCCTTTCCGGGGAGCGACTCCGTCTGCTCACTTCCTTCTTTCACAACAGCTAGAAGTGAATTTAGTAGGTGAAAACAGAACAACAGTTGAATAGCAGGAAGTGCCCGGGGCAGAAGGGAGGCTAAGGAGGCACGAACATGGTTGGTTTTCTCACTGTTGAATTATACAAAGATTGTTCTGTCGTTTAACAGAAATGATTAAGCCAAAGTTTGTAGTCTGTATACTTTTAGAATTTTGAGTTCATTTCTTTACAATGAACTAGCTTGTTCTCAAAACTGAAAGCAAGAAAGAATATCAGTATATTTAAATCTATTATTTGTCTATTTTACTTCCCAGCTCTGCAGAATCTTACTAAAGTGGATGGAGGGTCAGGTTGTGCTGGATTCCCATTCTGAAGTGCCCCTCAGGCCCTGCAGACAGTGCTTTAGTGGCCATAGCTCTGGCAAAGTCTCTTGCAGTTGCTGCAGGAATGAGTGTTTTCAGGCTTCAAGCAAGACAGTCTAAGAATCAGCCCTTCAAACCCATGAGGTGAGAAACTGCAACCAGCAACTCATCGCCCCTTTCAGACCAGTAAGGTTTGCTGGTGGTACTGCAAATAGCACAGGGCAGAGGAAGGCTGGAAGAAGAGCTCCTTTCCGCCACTCCATCGAAGGTAAGACACCTGGCATTCTCAAGTAACTGCTCTCACATTCACCGATAGCCGTGTCCTTCGTGCACACCACAGTACAGCCTGCAGAGCCAAGAGGCAGAAAAGCTGCATCACCACAGCTGGCACACAAGGAGCATCTCCAAGGTCCAGGCGTATTATCCATCTGATTCCTACCAAGGCCAGACTGGGGTTATTCCGGCATATATAGAAAAATATACTTGAATATATTCAAGAATATACTTGCTTACCTGGGAAAAAACCCAAACCATACCTGTACAACCCCAAACTAAAAGGTTTGGTTGCCCTAAAACTCATTGATTGATCCAGCTGTGTTAGTTGATCAAATGAAGGGTACTACCAGTCCCCTCAGATTTGCTGTAGTCAAG